GTTGACTGGAACCAGGGCAGTCGAGTGGCTAGACTGCTGCCCATTGGTATTTACCAAAGTGTGATGTTTAAATAAATAAATGACTACTTTGTATTGATGACCGTTGTGATTTCGAATTCCAAGTACAATACATTCGTTTGTGCTCATCTAATACTTTTTGATTAAATTGCGTTATTCCTGGGATTACTAGTTTATACTACAATTCAAATACTTCGAATCATCATATTGGCTTCGCGATAGAGTCTGTGATGGAATGGTTGGATATGAATTCAGATTTTAATACTTTTGAGAAGTACATAGAGAGGTTCAAAATCTGGGCTATGACCAAGGAAAATGATGAAGATTTTAATATTATGGCCCATTTCCTTACATTTATCGGAAAAGAAGCATACAACCTTATAAAGACTTTGTCACTTTCAGACAAACCGATTTCACTCCCCTATCCAGCTATCAAGCAACTACTGTTGGATCATGTAAAGTATACAAATTCCGAATGCGATAAGGGAGAAAAATTCGATGAAATGACTCGTCAGAACATCAGGAATTCCACTATTTTACTACGTCGTCGCATTTCGATGCGTAATTAAAATTATTCAGATAATACTTCATTGAGCTGTGGAACAGTCCATGAAGATGAACACGAGTTTAGTAAATGCTTGTTCTGCGGCAAGTTTCAACCATGTAATTCATATGTATTTCGTTATTCTAAATGTTTTAAATGTGGTAAAACTGGACACATTCAGTCAGTTTGTAATACCATGGTTCATTTCGCTGAAAGTAATGCTAACATGGATGCTGCTAATGATAAGTTATCTTTATCTAGAGGTGGTATAACGTCACATAACAGTCGAGAGTTGAATGAAACCCAGAATCATTGTGAGACAAAAATTTTAATCAACAAACTTATCAGATTTATCATGTTATTGTACTAGATATGGTTTGTCGTGATAATTCACATACTTCTGATGAAATTTCTTACAACTCTGAGAATAAAATGTTGAACGAGTCGAATCATGATCAATAACCAGATTCAGTTTTGGTAGATGCTGATTTTTCTTATAATCCATTATTCTCTAATGAAACTCTTAATAAATTCGAGGGAAATCTTTCAGAAAACTCAAATTCTGATATCATATTAAATATCATTTACCCTAACAATGAATTTATCTCTAGTGATATTCCTAATGAATGTGACAAATATGTTCCGAATGAGTCGAATTCTAGTCACATTTCTGATTTTATTGTATCATATGTTGCATATTCTCACGAACAATTTTTGTTGGGTAGAATCCCTAGTCAACTCCGCCTGTATCTCTTCTAGAGTTACTGCCAGTCCCAAGCCCACACAAAGGAGGAGGGTTGGGCATGGGGTTAGCGACCCCATCCCGTAGAAAATCAACTCGCTAAAAAAACGCTAACCAGAAAAAATAATTCAAACCATTTAAACTCTGCCCTGGGAGTCGAAGGAATAATGACGTCTCATGATGAAAGCCGAAATTCTTCGGAAGTCACGAGACCGATGCACCTTCTAACAACCAGAGCAACACTCTTTATAGGTACATGGAACGTCGGGACAATGTGGGAGACAGGAAAGAACAGCCAAATAGCAATGGAAATGAGGAGATACAACTTGGCAGTACTCGGAATCAGCGAAACCCATTAGACACAAACTGGACAACAAAGGCTAGGTACAGGAGAGATGCTGCTGTACCATGGTCACGAAGGGGAAAACGCTCCACACACTCAGGGAGTTTTTCTAATGCTGTCCAAAGAAGCACGAAATGCACTTGTAGGATGGGAATCTCATGGACCCAGGATAATCAAAGCATCATTCAGAACAAAGAAGCAAGGGATCACAATGAACGTTATCCAATGTTATGCACCCACCAATGATGGCAACGACGATGATAAAGATCAGTTCTATGAAAGGCTGCAATCAATTATAAAGAAGTGCTCACGAAAGGACCTCAATGCTAAAGTTCGAGTGGACAACACAGGATATGAAGATGTAATTGGACGACATGGATTAGGAAAGAGAAATGAAAATGGTGAGAGACTTGCAAACCAATGTGCATTCAACAAATTGGTTATAGGCGGCACAATATTCCCACACAAGCGCATGCACAAAGCTACATGGATCTCACCGGACCAAACCACAGAGAACCAGATAGATCACATCTGTATCAACAAAAATTCCGAAGATCAATGGAAGATGTGAGAACACGGAGAGAAGCTGACATAGCTTCAGATCACTACCTGGTTGTGGCCAAGATGAGACTGAAGCTAAAGAAAGACTGGACAACTGGACAAACAGCACTACAAAGGTTCAATACAGCCTTCCTTCGAGATACTGACAAGCTCCATGAACTCAAGATAACTCTCAACAACAGGTTCCAAGCTCTACAGGATCTACTGAATGAACAAGAAACTATCATGGAGGACAACTGGAAAGGGATAAAAGAAGCACTAACTTCAACATGTCAGGAGGTTCTTGGTCCGAAGAAGCATCGTCACAAGGAATGGATCTGTATGGGAACCCTGAACAAAATTCAAGAAAGGAAGAACGAGAAACTAGCAATTAACAACAGCCGAACACGAGCAGAGAAAGTCAAAGCACAAGCAGACTACGTAGAAGCAAACAGGGAAGTGAAGAAAAGCATTAAAGCCGACAAGCAGAAATACTAGAACTAGAACTAGAACTAGCAACGACGGCGGAAAAAGCTGCAAGGGAAGGAAATATGAGACAGCTATATGATACAACGAAGAAATTGGCAGGAAGATATGGCAAACCAGAGAGACCAGTCAAGGACAAAGAAGGAAAGACAATCACTGAGATTCAAGAACAGAAGAAAAGATGGGCAGAATACTTCGAGGAACTGCTGAATAGACCAGCCTCATTGAATCCACCGAACATCGATTCAGCCCACACTGACCTTCCTATAGACGTCACTCCACCAACGATCGAAGAAGTCAAGATGGCCACCAGACAAATCAAAAGTGGGAAGGCGGCAGGACCTGACAATATACCATCAGAAGCACTGAAGTCAGACATTGAATTAACTGCAAATATGTTTCGCCTTCTATCTAAGATTTGGGAAGAGGAACAAGTGCCAATGGACTGGAAAGAAGGATATCTCATCAAGATACCAAAGAAAGGAGATCTGAGCCAATGTGAGAACTACAGAGGCATCAGTTTGTTATCAGTACCAGGAAAAGTCTTCAACAGAGTGCTGCTGAATCGGATGACAGACGCAGTGGATGCCAAACTTAGGGATCATCAGGCTGGATTCCGTAAGGATCGGTCGTGCACAGACCAGATTGCGACACTACGGATCATCGTGGAACAATCAGTTGAGTGGAACTCATCACTATACGTCAACTTCATCGACTGTGAGAGGGCGTTTGACAGCGTGGACAGGAGAACATTATGGAAACTTCTTCGACATTATGGAGTTCCTGAAAAGATTGTCAACATTATCCAATACCCATACGATGGACTACAGTGCAAAGTGGTGCATGGAGGACAGCTGACAGATGCATTTCCGGTAAGGACCGGAGTCAGACAAGGCTGTCTACTCTCCCCATTCCTCTTCCTTCTAGTGACTGACTGGATTATGAAGAATTCGACATCTTACGGGAAATACGGAATACAACGGACTTCTCAGAATCAATTAGATGATTTGGACTTCGCAGATGACCTAGCTCTCCTCTCTCATACACACGAACAAATGCAGATGAAGACAACAAATGTAGCAGCAGCCTCCGCATCGATAGGCCTCCACATTCACAAAGGAAAAAGCAAGATTCTCAAATGCAACACGGAGAACACCAACCCAATCACACTTGATGGAGAAACTCTGGAAGAGGTGGAAACATTCAAGTACCTGGGGAGCATCGTTGATAAACAAGGAGGATCGGATGCAAATGTAAAGGCGAGGATTGGCAAAGCAAGGGCAGCATTTCTACAATTGAAGAATATATGGAACTCAAAACAACTCTCAACTAATTTCAAAGTCAGAATCTTTAATACGAACGTCAAGACAGTCCTACTGTATGGAGCTGAAATCTGGAGAACTACTACGGCCATCATCAGGAAGGTACAAGTATTTATAAACAGTTGTCTACGCAAAATACTCAACATCCACTGGCCGGATACTATCAGCAACAGCGTTTTATGGGAGAGGACAAATCAGCTTCCAGCTGAAGAGGAAATTAGGAAAAGACGTTGGAAGTAAATCGGACATACATTGAGGAAATCACCAATGTGCATCACGACTCAATCCCTAAATTGGAATCCGGAAGGGAAGCGGAAAAGAGGAAGGCCAAAGACCACATTACGTCGGGAAATAGAAGCCGATATGAAAAGGATGAATAGCAACTGGAAAGAACTGAAAAGGAAGGCTCAGGACAGAGCTGGATGGAGAATGCTGGTGAGCGGCCTATGCTCCTCGACGAGGGGTAACAGGCGTAAGTAAGTAAGTAAGTAAGAATCCCTAGTCAGTGGTATGATGAATCACAGGGGATAGCAAAATTTCCCGAAGCAATCAGAGAACCAGTTTTCCCAGATGTGAAGTTTGCACAGACAGAGAATCCAAATCAAGCACAAGATTATCCTAAGTAAAATACATTCGTTTGTGCTCATCTAATACTTTTTGATTAAATTGCGTTATTCCTGGGATTACTAGTTTATACTACAATTCAAATACTTCGAATCATCATACAAAGACATAGAAGGATAAAATAATAAAAAAGCGAGCACAAATACGTCTGTTTGTAATATGGGTTGTCAAGAGATATTGGTTATACTATATATATTGATGCGGAACCTCGTTCAGAATGGTCTGAACCATTTTGGTCTTGATTATCACTTACACCGAATCATAACATGTCATGATCTCTTACAAAATCTCTACAGACGAATGCTAAATTCATTCTTTGCTGTTCAAGTTTAGCATTAGATGTGTAGAATAATCTCAAGATTGGGCAACCATTCGGAAGCGGGCAAATTGTTCTAGATACCTATTCCAAGGTCACCGTTTTCTTATCGGGATTAAGATTTTTTATATGGTTGATGGGAAATTTTTGGTTTTGTGCGTTGATAATTCAGTTTTCAAAACAAATTTAAATGAATTGGATCAATGTATTCAGAGAAAAGTTCAGGGGTTCGATGCTCATGATTCATGAGGCATTTATCCCAAAGGGAATTTTCGGTAAATTTTAACAAGAAACCCCACGGTGTTACAAAATTCCTTGGAAATATTCGAAAAAACCCGAGATTCTTCCAAACATTTCGGGGAATGTACCGAGGCCTGGGAAAGTTTTGTGTCATTTCCTCAAATTTTTCTATAACGGTTTACCCAAAATTTTCGCAAACTGGACAAAAATTTCCCAAAAGTAGAGAGAGTGAGATAACTGTCAGAAATGTATCCGAAGCTTCTATTTTCAACTCGCCCTACCTATGAGCGGGAGTTAGAACGCAATAGCCTCACCTGTCAAATTGAGTATATTTTTGTAACAAGCGAAAGATCAGACAAAAATAAAAGAAGACATATTCATATGAACTATATTGGCAGATGTCAGCTCTGTTCACGGTTGTTCTATTAGGTACATATGTAAGTACCTTTTGGGTTGCCATGAAAATGCTCATAGTATTAGTTACCATGCTACTTCCCAATCCAAATTCAGTGACCAGATATACTGCTTCGTAGAAGTAACAATTCATTGCGACTCTTCTTAAACATCATTATTATGAAGATAAATAATAATTCGTTTAGTTCCATTTGCCCATAAATCAAATCTGTTTATGAGACCTCAATGTATGGTTCAAATGGTTGAGGATGGAATAGAAGAAGCTTTCGCTTAACGGGCTTCCGTGTCTGGTAGCAGTGGATCACCAATACCTCCAGGCAAGAACCTAGGTATATGAACGATAATAGAGGGAAAAAAAGAATTTGGTAAATCATAATATGTTATCCTTAGTCCTTAAGAATAAGTCAAGTTTTCTCTTAAAGGACTCCTGGGAGGTCGCTTGGACTAGCTCAGTCGGCAGCGAATTCCAGCACTTAACAACTCTAACGGAGTAGGAGTTGTGTCTGCAGTCTGTTCTGCTATGTAGGGTCTCCAATTTCTGGGTGTTATTTCTGAGGTTAGTGTTATGACTAAGCTTAAGAAGTTGTTTAAGGGGATGACCAGAAGTATTAAGGATACTATAAGTCATAAGAAGATCACCTCTAAGACGCCTATACTCTAACGGATAAAGGTTGAGTGATTTGAGGCGCTCTTCATAAGGTTTGAATTTGAGACCCCGAACTGATTTCGTGGCTCGACGTTGTATACGTTCCAGAGTGACCTTATCCTTTTGGAGAGAGGGAGGAAATACTATGTTTCCGTACTCTAAGTGGGGACGAATAAAACTGTTGAAGATTATATGGAAGGTTCTACCGTCAAACTGGCCAAAAATGCGCTTCAATGTTACCAGTGCAAGGTTAGCTTGAGAGGCGTTTTTGTCACAGTTCGCATACGATTTCAGGTCGTAGGGTACCAACACTCCTAAATCTTTTTCAACTTGGGAAACTTCTAGAGGGGAGTTACCTAAGTTATAACTATAGTCTGCAACATGTCTCAGATGGACTACCTTGCACTTTGAAGTGTTGAAGGTAAGTCCGTTGTCGTCTGCCCAACTTTGAAGTCGAGTCAGATCCTCCTGAAGAACTAGTATATCATTATGATTACGTATCTCTCTCCAAAGTTTCACATCATCAGCAATAAGTCAGATGAAACTTGTTGAGGAAGATCGTTAATATAAATCAAGAAGAGAAGAGGTCCTAGTATTGAACCCCGGGGGACCCCATTTGTGTTCCAATGTTAGGAATGATGGTAGTATATATCAGCCGCATACTTTTCAGAAAAAAATTTATAGACTAGTGTTCCTGCTCATTTTTATTTATTGGCTTCACCTCAGTACGAAAAATGCCTCAAGCATTATAATATTTGGAACCTGAGACTGGAAGCATAATCTTAGGGACAGTGTAGAAGCAGAATAAAACAATGTGAAAGGCTTTCTGCATATTATCTACAAATAATATGGTTTCAGAGGACTCTTCATCAGTAAAGTTTAAAAAACTTTATTCTTCTCTTACCCTCAAACGAGATCAAGTTGCTGGACTTCTGAAAACAGTATGAAAAAGATTATATTTTCCTTACCACTTGTATCTGTTTTGTCAGAATTACTAAAAAAACTTCCTGGACGGAAAATAACAGAGCTGTATTCCGAAGAGATGCATTTATGTGTGCTTTCGAAAACCAAACTGCTAATAAATCTTTCACATATATTTTCTTTTAACTCTGTGGTTTTATACTTATAGGACAGGCCGAATGTATGATGAAACATTCACAATTGCTGTCTAATATTTAAAAGTGCAACAGAGTTATGGTAACTTCTTTATGTGTTATTGTACTTTAAAGAGCTCAGAAGAAATACTCGATTCTTTTCGAACTGCGATTTCCACATGTAAGTTTTTCATGTCATTTTCATTTGTGGCAGCTGACATAGAAAAGGTTAAATCTCTCCTTTCAGAGGATAGGTCACTAATTAACTCCCATGACAAAGTGAATAATTGGATTTCTAGACTAATTATCTGAATAGGAGGGCTTGTCTCCACTGCAATTGGCTTGTTTCCGGGGTAAACTTCCGATCGTTGAGTTTCTTCTCAAATACGGAGCAAATGTAAATTCTTCCCACAAACAGGGTTATACTGCCCTAATGTTTGCTGCTCTTTCAGGTTTGTCACTTTAGCTTTACAATTTTGTAGGGAATATTGAGGTTGTTGAGCTTCTTCTCCATTATGGGGCTCGAATAAATGATGTTAACAGTATTGGGAAGACTGCTTCTCAAATGGCCGCATTTGTGGGTAGGTATTCAAACTCACCTGTAATAATAAATGAGGAAATCATAACGTCGTCACTCTTATTAATAACTATCTGGAAAGAGAAGAAATAGCCATTTATGTGTCGAAGTCCCGATTGCTACCTGAACATATATCTGCGATTCACCAACTAGTTTTGCAGCTAAATATTTCACCTATTAAAGTATGTTACCTCATATCTTTATGTTAGTAGCTGTTGTTCCATCGATAGCCATAATATTCCCGCAATATACGTATACATCTCAGCAAAACAATGCTTAAGTCATTTTATTTTCGCCATTTAACGATAATTTGCCCATTCTATCTTTCGCCCTATTTATGCACTAAGGTCACGGTATTTTAGTTGCAAATTTTTGATGCGCAACTACCGAAAATCGATGTGAAATGACAATCAGTACTTCATAAAGCTATGTCCTACACATTCGTAAATGAAGTTTCGTACAATTCACACCTTACATCAAGTGTTTTGTTAGGTTGACGAAGAATTACATAAAACATGTGTTTTAATGGAAAAACACCTCGGATCTACCAAACTAAATGCTCATAAAGTAAAAAGAAACTTCATAACAAGTTCCTTCACATAAACCCGAAATTGTGTAAAATTGGTCATTCTGGAGAAAATATTTAAGTGGACAAGCGTATGCAAGTCAAAAATATACATCTTTGTCGTTTCCTGATCAGGCAACTTGTATTAACCGATTGTGTCCACATTCTAAGATGCTGACGAACCAAAAATAAAGACTCAACAACTTTATTGATGAGGGACTCATAATCTGACAATCTTAGCACACTCAACTTTCCCTTCTAAAATACTTTGTCAAATTCCTCTGATATTATGTATAAGAGTTCATCATCTATTAATAGTTAATTCTTTACCTGCAAATATTTCAGCACGATTAAATAAAAGTCATCGAACCGCTATCAACGTGTAAGAGAAAATAATGTCATTGGATAACCAGATCAGTAAAGTTCTTGAAAACTTATGCCACTTGCTTGCTAGTAAAGTGACTTTTTGTTGTTCAAATATTCCTACATAAACAGCTATCAGAACAAATACCTGTCAAGTTTTCGATAACTAAAAACATCATTTGAGTAACACCGTTCTCACTAGCATTGTCACTTTATTGAAATATTTAGTTTCTAATGACATTTCTGGCGTTCCCTTAGTATTTACTGTAGATTAAGATGATTGAATACTTATCTTAACAAACTTTGGCAGATATTCAAGGTTCCCTGATCCAATTCATACTTTTACATCTAAACTTGTCTTCATTTAATCCTAAGTTGGATATACTTTACATTATATGAACTAGTATCATTTTAAAACGGTTCCATATGTAGTTAGGAAAAATCGTAAAGTACTAAGTGCTTTCGACGCACAGAAGTATCTTTTTACTTGGTTCATTCGGAAAATCATACTAAAATAATCCCAGTTTGAAATATTTGAGCGTTACAATGATCTTAAACGATCAAAAGACTTGGAGCAAGTGGGAAGATTTCGTACTGGTGAAGGAAAATGTGCATCACTGTTAAGTGTGTCATAATGCGGTCCAGCCACCATACACGTAATCGAAGTATTCAAATGTGTTAGATGTTTTCATTAAATTTACAGAGAAATATATTAGGTCTGGTTATTTTTTAAACTATAGAATATCTTCCACCCATTGACCTAATACTGAAATGTCGGTTAACTCACTTTTTTACTATGAGGTAATATATTTATTGAGGGATCGCTTACACATTTTAGGTCTTTCTGCTACTGAACAATGAGATCGAAACCTGTAGTCGCTCGGGAGAAAATTACGAGAAGTGTATGTTGACTCATTGGCGTTGCATCCATACTATTTTTGAAGATCTATGCAACAAATATTTCACACCTCATTTAACACACGAACCATTATCCTTAAAATTTCATTTATTGGCCTGTTGTATACACCAAGCCGGAGAATATTACGATAAAGAGCCGAAAACTACAGATGTTCAAGATCATGCTTTTTCACCATTAAAGCAACTGATTAGGAAATTCTTAGTCGGTACAGAGCCCTATGGTTTGCCGTTAGGTAAGTGATGTGAAATAGCGCATTCATAACTTATCAAATAGGTCAAGAGCAATTCTTACGACAGTCCTTGACTTCGTTCCCCCATCATCAATCGACCTTATGGAGACATATTGTCCAACAAATATCCCCACTACATTTAGGCCATATGCCAACAGCGTTGTCCGTTCTTACAAAAACAATCAACGGTACTATCATGTATAATGCTCGTCCTCTTGAACTATGCGCAACATGTGGAGATGGTCCTGAACTAGGAATACCAGGGAAGTTGAAAGCATGTCAGCAATGCAAAATTACTTCCTACTGTTCAGTCTCTTGTCAACGTTTACACTGGTTTACACATAAGAAATTTTGTCCAGTTATTAAAAGTAAGTACTTATTACACAATTGATGTTTATCTACTACTTAGACTAAATAGATTAAGATGTTCTTATACGAATAAGTGGGAGATATTTCAGTTTACAGTACTTAGTATGCGTTTAGTTAGATTTCAGCAGAAATCAACAGTGTAAGTTATTATAAGTAATGTAACATAGGAATTTGCCCAAAGTCACTAACCGTTAAATGCTTATGGATACTCCTCATTATTTGCTAGAGATACTAAGTAATAAGTGATAATAAATTTCTCGTTTTTTCATTGTTGATCGATGTTACTCTTCATACTTCCAAGTGTTCAATAGTAAGATCTGTTATATGAAGTATTAATGAACCTCTTTAATCGTTGCGAATGTTAGCACGTTTTTGATGGGATGTTGATAACTTGTACTAACAGTCTGTGTCGGTTTATCATATTAATTTTTATACGGCAACAATATTTTGTTCATGCCCATTCTTAATTTGCGTACCGTTCAGACACTACATTAACATGCCAGCATAAATTATTGTTTACTTTACAGAACATAAAAAAGAATTTGAATTTGCCAAGTGAAGCATAAATGACATTGCAATTTGTGATACATACACTAACTTTTATTCTACTTTACAACGGATTTGTTGTTCATATGTAATTTAGAATAATTTATTAATAATAAAGCTTCTAATCGAATAAATGGATTTTTATCGTCTATACATGAAATCAATGTACTGTTGGCGATCATAAAACTGTACACAAAAACAACGTATGTACTTTCGAAATAAATCATTTCAAACTAGTGCACACTGACTTCATTGCAATCACAGTTAATTTCGGGTTATAACTTTGAGATTAACAATCGTGTAAAACTATTTGTTAACTCATCAGTTAGTGGTTTTTCCTTCTTTCCGGAATCACTTCACATATTTCTTTGGGAGTCTAAAAAGTAATTAGAAGTCACAAATGGAAGTGTTTTTTCTTAAATTTTAAGGAAAATTATAATTAGAACAATCACAGTCACTGACAAGAAATACGGTATACAAATTTAGGAAATTTTAAATTACTCATTCCTTAGGCATTTTATCAAACCGTATTGATAAGCCTGTAGCAAAACAGTGAGCTGGAATTTGCATTCAGAGTATAATTTGATATCTGTTAGTCTGTTGTGCTCCTTGTAACATTTAAGATATTGTTTCAGTGAGCTTACAATCATCGGAAGAAATTCTTTTAGCCGGGATTTCGAGCTTTAAGATTCTTTTATTTATGTCCAGAATGGAGAACATTTAAATTAAATTTAGTGCTGCTTACCTACAAATCTATCATGAGTGTATTATTTTTCTTATTACCAATTAGGCTTATCTTAAAACAGGTCTATTATGCAAATAGTGGACCTGGATAAAGATGACAAACGATTATCTACTCAGTACCGAAAATCAACCGTAGGCTGCCAATCTCGGAATTTCTGTCGAATTTCCCAGATAAGCAAACTACATAATGGAGTACTTTGTAGATGACGGCACTTGAGATGAGAGTGGATCATACTGACCATAGTTTTTAATGAACTAAACTTTATGTAGCAACTTATTAATGTTCAAATATTGCTACGACTTGTATTAGATTGAACTGTTTGTCTTGGAAATAATGTCTACGACTAAAATATAGGAAATTCAACACCTAAAATCAAGTGCTTACTTCCTATAATCTGGTCCATATTCCACATCATCACGGTTTGTAGACTGTCGTACTTCTTTCTCGTAGCTTTGCATTTTTTTCCGGTTCAGCAGCTTCCGCTCAGTTGACTCAATCTCTTTCAATCTGGCTTCGATTTCGCGTTTTCGAGTTAACCGATCAGAAGTGAAGTCAGGAAAATATGCATTTACTGCTTCTAAAATACCGAGATAAAGTGATATAAAAAGAGTACATTAATTAATTAAAAAGAAAAAGTGATGTCTTATTTTTGAAGCTCAATGTTCTACCTGTTTCGAAAGTTCTATGAGTGGATGAATTGGGGTATTGGGAAGTTGCTGTTGGATCTGGTGTCACACGTTCTGAAACTGACGACAACGAGTAGTTACCTTGTGAGAACATTGAGGATGATCTACTGGAATGTTCTTCGGGGGAACGTGATTCGTTTCTTGTCCATTCACAGGATGATGTAATGTTAGGATAACTTTTATTACTTCGCATCTTCGTCTGAACCTAAAAAAAACAGACAAATGAGGATTCGATGTCATAAAGTATTTTAAGCAATCGTATGTAATGTTATTTTTTCAGTTTGACTTAGTAAACTAACTGTTGTGAGGTCGAGACTGAAACAATGAAGATTCTAACGTAAAAAATTCTGCTTCTGATCCTATTTGAATGATCAACGTATGTTTGATGGTAGAGCTATATAAGTTCAGTAACAAAACATCGGATATTCAGCAATGTACAATGTTAGACTTTAAATTAAGTTCCATTAAAAAGTATTTCGGAGAGAAACTGCCGTTGATATTTCGAGTTCCAAGCAAACCGACATATACTTCACTGGACTACATTGAAGAAACTGGTTATCATCATATCCTAATAGATCAGTCGATATACTGGTTAGCCGAAATCCAAAACTCTAGGAAGCTAATATAGAAAATCTTATAGGCAGAATCAAGAGAATGCTGTTTCAAGAAATATGGTCAGAATAACAAAATATGACTACGCTTGAATAGATAACTGAACTGGAAAACTCCATCTACTCTGAAAATAAGTATTAGTTTGAGTACCAGGGACTTTTCTGGAGCTCGGAAATACAGGCCGCTTGATAGTCGGCAATTACAGAAACAAATACAGCTTACCACATAATCAGAGGACATACAAATAAGTTTATTGATGAAGCTAATATAAAATCAACTAATAAATAGTTTAGGGATTGATGATAATAGAACTGACAAAAAGTTTGGTAAAAAGTTCACAATAAGTAACAGTTACGTAATGAACAATTCGAACATGAAATTAAGGGACTGATGAAATTTTGGATAAGTTCAACAATAATAACAGGTGTGCAATCATAAACAGATTAAGTAAAAACAATGGTAGAAGTATTTTTAACAAGTCACTTGTAACTCACTCAGACAATATGACGGCTGAGGTCAGGATTGAGATTGTACAAATTTCACGTAGACACAAACTCAGCTTATTTAAGTGGATACCGACGGTTCTTGATATATGGAAAAGACATGCCTAAACCAGGCGGTATATTTGGTAGGATCCAGTGGATAATTTGAAATCGGTTGTTTTTGTCTATTTGATATCCTGTATCCCTTAAATGAGCCTGTATAGAGCTATCGATTAATCATACTTGTCATTTACTCACCCAGGTGGGATGATATCCCGAAACAGGGCGATAGACTCGTTCAATATATCTGGCTCCACATGAGCGGTTGTAATGGTAATCGCACATAGATGAAGGGAATTGGGGAAGTTTACCCTTATTTTTTGTCCTAATGCTCGGTTGGTTGTAAAATAGGGCGTATAATTCTACCACATTGAATGTTCTTTGTAAAGCCTTTTTTACTCGTATTACTAATTTAATTATAGTGTCGTTGAAGAATTGCAGCGTTATAAATACTGTCTTTTCATAATCTAGTTTTCTTTTATCTTAACCTGGGTCATGCGCTTCCCGATAGATTCTAACGGATAAGCGTTCATGCTGAGTAAGTTGCGAATGGTACTTAACTATTCTTTAATGGTATCATCGGAGCAAATAATTTTTACAAGATGTATTAAACTCATGTTCCGCTTTCAAGAGGTACGGGACTATAAAAATGAATATACTTAACAACTGATGTTGAATTTTGATATATACTTTTCCTTATTGTCATTCTAGTGTGAATGTGATAGATGGATGGATGCAGTTAAATATTTTAAGTAGACTAACCTTGCACTATAACGGTGTTGTCTATGTAGCGGTAATAAAATATTAGCTGGGCAATTTCGTCCGAATGAAGATTTTCACCTTACCGAAATCCACTAGGCAAGGATTCGCGTTAAGGATTCTTAATGAGTATTTGAAATACCATGAAAGGCTTAGCCAAGCGAAGGTGAATGTGAAATTTGTAAATCAATTCATTAGAATCAACCTACATCCTAAAGTATATTGGTAGTTTTACGTTCTTTAAGGGTTCGACCTAATGAGAGGACACTGAAATGTTAGACACTTAATGAAAGCTTCACAACACTTCCAAGATCCTCATTTTGTGCTAAAAATATTTCAGATCATCTTGGAATATGCGACATGAGGTCTCTCGAAACTTTTAATAATGTTTAAATTAATAACAGACTGAATAACCTTCATGACCTCTCAATAATACATACCATAGAATCTGGTGATGAACGGAACTGATTGGACAGAGAACTGCTCGATGGATAATCTGATTTTAAACGGCGATCCATAGAAATATCCGGACTTTTCGTGTAATGTGTTTGTCTAAGTGTGTCTGAAAGATGACGTTCAGAGTGGCTTGTCGGGCTACACACCGGTTGATCTATTTCAAAAGTAATATATGGAAATAATCGTTTTATAGTAACAAAATTAATTACGATCGCTTAGCAGCTTTCAATACACTGGCACGTTTCACTAGATGAGTTACTGACCCAACATACATTTACTTTGAATAAATTCGTTTCCCTTACAGTTACTAAATGATCATAAATCATAAGAGACGTTGAGTTCTTACAAAATCTTACTAGGTCATGGAAGTATACATCGATTATCATCATAAGGCTGGACACCAACTATAACAAAAGCTGTATGTAACGGAGATTTAAAGCTAGCTGGACCTAATTCAATACAACGTAACAACTTCTTATAAAATGGTGAATACATTAAATGAGTTCCTAGATTATGAAAAAATGTCTAACAGGGAATTTTAGAGTTTATCTAGAATTGAAACTGTAAGGAAACTTTGAGCTGTTCGCACTACGACTTGTTCAACCTACTTTCTCACCGGCGGCTCATCAGTTTTGCACGTTATCAAACGTAATTGTAACTAATCATCATTTATATATTACACGCGACCACATTTTATTAAACAAATCATGTAATGCACAACGCAAGAGTTTTGTACAAAGAGACTGTTACTTGAACCCATTTCTGTATATTATTGTAATGTAGTTAATAAAATTAAAATGGGATCCATTTCCTTGTTGATAAACTACATAAATTACTTACAAAAACTACTAGGTCGAAATTCCGTAAATGCATGATTTCATAAGTACTTTATTTAAAGTAAACATGGTCAGGGTAGGTGAATACTTGTTTGGAACGATCGCTAGGGTTTAAACTGATACTCAAATAAAGCCTTTCCTCAGAACTGGTTGTTTTTGAAGTTGTACAAGCAATTGAATCTTACTTTGACATACTTATGAAACAAATTATAGTTGTATGATATACCTAATGGGCAAAATAACGAAGAATTACAATTCACTGTTCCCCTTAAGTAGAATATACGAAATCTGCGACTATTACACTTTCATATATAATTCAGAAAATTTTAGAAAGCAAAATGCCCTACATTCACACTATTTTATGATACACATCTCTTTCTAGCATATGTTATCTCCTTACAAAACATAACTCATTGTTCCCATTTTAAATTACTTAAGTGTAAAATAGTACACATATAATTCTGGCCCCCAAATGCCCTGGTACGGCCGAGAGTGGGGAGAGTCCACTCTCCCTCTCGAAATGCTCTCACATGGCCAGCGAATATATAGCCTCTGACAGGGAAGTCCTACTCACTGCCTTCTCGTGGCGGGGGTGTTGTTTACGAAAGTGAGAGGACGAAAAGCGAATGTCCGGCGCTTTAACCGGGTTGGTGGACACGGAGGGTCCACCTAGGGGAGTTGGAAAACCCTGATTCCAAACTCATAGTGCACATGGGCTCCAGTATCCTGATGGAACGAATGGCGAATGAACCTGTTGTTGGTCACCGGCTACCATGGGACTGCATCTCCTCACGATGCTCCACTGCCTTGTGGATCAGACCTTTAGGTCAAAGGCTCGGGGTGTGGCCCCATAAGAAAGCCACCTGCTTCGGTTTTGGCACCCGGGCAGTATCACAGCCCACACACAAATGACATGAAATGACGCAATACACTAACTACACTGCTCTCGTTCCTAATAGAAGAAAGAAAATTTACATTATTATTATTACCATTATTATTATTATTTACTACGTCGCTTTTTCACTCCCTTTATTCCCAAATTGTGCATCCTTCCTTTCCAACTTATGCAGTAGCTCGCCAATGGTGGAAACTCTGTCCTATCTAAACGATCTCCAGTCACTGTCTGGTTGAAAGTGAATGCTTCCACTGATTACGAATACTGGAGCAGTCTTTCTGAAACCACGTACGCCGTTCAAGCTGGCTTCCTTCAACGTTCGCACACTAATGCAGATCGGACAACAGATGGGGCTGGCTATGTCTTTAGAAAGTCTTAATGTTGATGTTTGCTGTCTATCCGAGACCCGCATTCAAGACTCTAGTGAAGTACTACAAATTCGCTCTCCATCTGTCGCTTCGAAAAGCTTGTTTCACGTGCGCTTATCCGGGGACTCTGTGGCATCTTCGTCTGGTCTTGTTGGCGTTGGTGTTGCACTAAGCGCTGGGGCTGAGGCAGCACTAACCGATTGGATCCCCATTAACAGTCGGTTATGTGCTGTTAGATTAGAGAGTTCCATCAAAGTGAGAAGAAACCGGCGTGAGAAACGGTGTCTTTTCGTCATCTCCACCTATGCCCCGTCAGATTGCAGCCCGGATGCAATCAAGGATGAGTTTTACCACCAGTTAACAGTTCTTCTCCAGAAAGCGCGTTCGACAGATATTGTAGTATTATCCGGAGACTTGAATGAACGGGTCGGGCGTCTAGGCACAGAAGAGAGTCGTTTAGGTGGCCGATGGGAACTTGTTGGTCGCAGGACAGATGACGGGGACCGTTTGCTGCAACTGTGCACAGACCACAACCTGTTTCTGGCTAGCACTAACTTTCGGCGCAGTCATCGCCGGTGTGCCACCTGGCGTCCTCCCTCTGAATCTCAAGCCTAGACACAGATTGATCACATCACGATCAGCTAGCGCTGGCGTGGTTGTGTACAAGACTGCCGCTCCTTTTGGAGTACCTATCTGGAGTCTGATCATGCCCTGGTCTGCGCCAATCTCACCTTACTTTTCAGTGGCCGAAGGATTGACCACCACCAACGGATTGATGTTAGTAAACTGGCTGCAACATCTGTTGCAAGTAAGTATCGAGCGGAGCTAGCTTCTAGGCTAGCTACCATCCCACCGAAAAGTATAGATGAGCATTGGTTGCTTCTTCACGACGCCATGAAAATGGCGAGTAAAGCCGCTTGCGGCTTCGCGAAACGTCCCGCTTACAAGCACTGGGTTTCTTCTGGCTCCTTACAAGTGATGGAAGCCCGTCGGTCTACTCCGGGTGACCGTGAGTTTGACCAAAAACGAAGGCTGTTACGTAATGAAATCGGGCAAAGCTTGCGTAAGGACCGGGAAGCCTGGTGGTCGGAGCGTGCTAATGAGATGGAAGCAGCAGCTGCATCTGGTAACTGCCGGAAGCTCTTCCAACTCATCCGAGCCACAGACAGCAAGAAGCCTGGTGTGAGTGAAACAATCTACGAGGATGACGGGATGCCAATCACTAATATCTCTCGACGTCTTGGACGATGGGCGGAATTTTTCGAAGGGCAGTTCAACTGGCCTGCTGCTCCGGCAACATCAACCAGCTTGTCCTGCCCCCCATGGCCGGTGACGACTGATCCACCAAACGAGGCGGAAGTCCGCAAGGAACTCCAACTCTTGAAACGTTACAAATCACCGGGCCCAGATGACTTACCTCCGGCTCTTTTTAAAGATGGTGGTGACTTTCTGGCTAAGGAACTGACGGTGTTGTTTGCAAAGGTTTGGGAGCAAGAAAGTGTTCCAACATCATGGAATGAGTAGATAGTCGTCCCTATCTTCAAAAAGGGTTCACGTTGTTCTTGTAACAACTATCGGGGGATAAGTCTACTTCCGAATGCGTCCAAACTATTGGCTTCTGTCATTCTTCGTAGGTTGTTTAAAACCCGAGAACGATTGACTCGCGAGGAGCAGGCTGGTTTTCGTTCTGGTCGAGGATGCATTGATCACATCTTCACCCTCCGCCAAATGTTAGAACACCGTCATACTTATCGCAGGCCAACAATCGTAGTGTTTCTTGATATCAGGGCTGCCTTCGATTCGTTGGACAGGACTGTTCTCTGGGATTGTCTATTGAAGAAGGGTGTGCCTGAGAAGTTCAGTAACATCTTAAAGGCCCTGTATACGAACAACTCAGGTAGAGTGAGGGCATACAATCACCTTTCTCCCTTGTTCCATTCGAGCAGTGGGGTTAGGCAGGGTTGCCCGATCTCACCATTCCTCTTCAACTTTGCCATCGACGACATCCTGGAAACAGCTCTGATGGATGTAAGTAATGGCGGTGTGGATATGTTGCCTGGAGAACGACTTCTCGACCTCGAGTATGCGGATGATATTGTCTTGCTGTGCGATAATGCCCAAGGCATGCAATCCGCACTTAATCAGTTGGCAATCAGTGTCCACAGGTACGGTATGTGCTTTGCACCCTCCAAGTGCAAAGTACTCCTACAAGACTGGCAGGATCCTCATCCTGTACTCACCCTGGATGGTGAGCAGATTGAAGTAGTTGAGAAGTTCGTGTATCTAGGTAGCTATATAAGTGCTGGTGGTGGCGTGAGTGATGAGATTGATGCACGTATAAGGAAAGCCAGAGCGGTTTATTCCAATCTGGGCCATCTTTGGCGCCTTCGTGATGTTAGTCTGGCTGTAAAAGGTCGGATTTACAACGCGTCGGTGAGAGCAGTTTTGCCCTATGCTTGTGAAACCTGGCCTCTCCGAGTTGAGGATGTTAGACGTCTCTCTGTGTTCGATCATCGTTGTCTCCGAAGGATTGCTGACATTCAGTGGCAACACCATGTTAGTAATGCAGAGGTTCGGCATTGTGTGTTCGGGCGCAGAGACGATAATTCAATTGGTGTCACCATCTTGAAACACCGACTTCGGTGGCTTGGACATGTTTTATGAATGTCGTCCCAGAGACTTCCACGTCGTGCATTATTTTCCGACTCTGGGACTGGTTGGAAAAAGCGGAGAGGAGGTCAGTGTATGACATGGTGTCGTGGCATGAAAGAAAGCTGCAAAGGGCTAGCTTCTGTTGGTCCTTCACGACTCCCTGGCTAGGGTCCGAGAGATGGTGCAACACAGTGGCTAGAGACGTTATCAGATATGGCTCAGAATAGAAGCCAGTGGCGATCCTGCTGCAACCTTCTTTTACTTTCTACATAAAGAGTGGTTCTAACTTTCTTAACTGAAAGAGTCTTCTGATTGTACATTTCAGTCCGCCTTATCTTTTCATCCCTTCTCTTCCTACTTTCATTATTTTGTGTGGCGCATATGTATCTGGTGCCCTTTTGTACCAATATATATGTGTTTAAATAAAATAAAATAAATAAAAGACACGGTAAACCAAAAGAAATAAAATTGTATTGATCAGAGACGATTTCCGAACGGTAACAAAAAACTCGTAAACTTCATTGGTAAACATCGCAGAACACAGTAAAAGAGAATCTCTTATTAAACGCCTTACTTTTAATCGAAGTTTGGGATCTTCTTATTGATTGACTACTGTGATATATTTCGATTCGCGAGGTCATTCCCGTGGATTTGGTACACCAGTCGTTCGAATCACATAACTGACTAGTAGCGAATGGTGGAGTGGACGACCTTGAATACTTCGTGTAATTATGATTCATACGATTAGTAGATGTATTTGTTGAGTATGAATCGTTATAATCAGACTTTTGTTCATGACATAATCTTACACTTTCAGTTTTAAGGTTCGAAACATAATTTTCTGGATTATATTCTAGAGTAGATGTCATGTATTTATTTCGATGTTTGCGTTCATCGTAAGTGATAGGTGAGGTAGAGCGCATGTAATCATCTGTATTATGAACATTACAGGAGAAAGTATTCTGAACTGATAGGTTCCGATCATGGGACTGAGAAATTGTATGTGGTGACCTTGAAACTGGGGAATGATCTGAATATGGAATCGAGTTTCCAATTGAGGTAGGTGACTTCGAATTCACATCTTTTTCTTCATCTTCAGAAACATCATCCAACAGTAAATGGACATCATGCCAAGAAATCTGGTTAGGTTGCCGATATGAACTTTTCTCGCTGACTTTAGATGAATGACGTTCTCCGCAGAATTCCGAATTTTCATGTAACAATGACGCAGAGGATTCATCAACAGGACTATTAGAACTTAAAGATTCTGTGAAAAACAAGGAACACAAGTGTAAAAATGATATCTTTTAAGAAAATATAAGTTGTATAATTATTCGATTGAGATTTTAATTCATAGAGTGAGCATTTCGGAAAAACTTTAAGACAATAAAACGTAGACAATAGAAAACAACCGAAGAATCGAAATCGTAAGAGAAAATTTATACAACGGGATTGAGAGTCCCATCTTGTTAGCATGATATGATTGAATTAAAGCATATTCCGGAAGGATAGTGTTGGTAAATGCTGATTGTCTATTTCTTAGCCAATATTTGGAGAAAACTATAGAATCTTCTTACGTAAAAATAACAAATATACTAACGTTTTTCTAATTGTGATTCCTACTTCCATTTAACCTTGTTATTTGAGATATAATTACGGAGGGTGTAGCTTATCGGCTACTCGTTTTGGCAAGGTGAGGTCAAGTGAATGACCACACTAGGATTCTGTATGTGTATTTCAGAGACACAGCATACATCAATGTTACGAAATTCTAGGGTCTTAGCCAGGGTGGCCTGCCGGCTGATTTGACATAGCCTACGTACATTGAAGGCTCCAATATGTAGTTTGGAGCGAGGTTTCAGTAGACCTGGGACAGTATTTCACACACTAGAATCGTTGGTCGTGGTGACACTTGAGGGGAAGTTTAGAGTTGATAGACGAGGTAGGAGGAATAATAGGAATGGAAGGGGGAAATTGACTATGTATATAGCGGTCTTGAGTGTTGTGAGGGTGGTTATCACTTCCCGGTTGCCCATAACGTGGAAGCATTTTATCTAGAGGTACCTGAAAAGGAAATTGGGTTAGAAGTGTTCTTAGTGACCTGAGAGCATAACCGCAGTGCCCAAGGGACAACTGCTTGAGGCCGGTCACACACGACCTTTTCGTGTTAGCTCCATACTTGTGGAGACCTTACCGCTGGAGACAGAAACCCGTGGGATAAAGCGAGGTGTGTTTTTAGTGTCGAGCTATTTTAACCCCACCCTGCCCTGTGGGAAGGCAGCAACGCTGTTATGATGGTTTTATGAGAAACACACCTTAATGCCGTCACACCTCTGTACAGTTAGCAGTAAGACTTTGCCCTCGGGCCTTGGGTTTGCTGCTTTTAGTCTTACCATTCTTCAACCGACATGTCTGACATAGTGGGACCTTGACGAACGATTGTTCCAGGCAGTATAGCTCGATTGGTTCATCATGATAGGCAAGCCCGACCACCACGTCAAGGTAGCAGCAACAGTTGTTTTGTTAGTATGTGGTGCATATGTATTTGGTTCCCTTTTGTACCAATATTTATGTGTTCAAATAAATAAATTGAAGTAACTCATATGAGTTTGGTGTTCATCTTGTTGTACTAATGCATATATGTGCTTGGTTCTACATTGTATCTGACTGACTGAACAGACGTTATTGTTTAGGTGTGAAAATCGTCTGTTTAAGTGAAATACGATTGCCAAAACCGTATATTTATCAGGCTGAATGATAAGCTAATATTACCAGGGTAAATTTAAGGTGGGGACAAACAACTTTCGAGTACAAAAAGGCAGTTTGAATTTCCGTATGGCTAAGGCTTCAATAAACCTTAGTATACGCATTTTTGTACTTCCATACAACACCACAAAAACTGTGTTAAGATCAGTCTTATGATCTGTTTCACCTGTGTTTGTCAATAGAGGATGACGGATGTTTATCACCTACTCTAATTAGGTCACTTGATTTTACTTGTTTTTGCAGCCATTTAGGTACATGTTTAGACACCCTAATTTGGAGATCACGACTACTCCTTTCTATACGTTTACAGTCACACACACATTTAAATTGATAAACACAGTGGGATGTGACGCAATCGTTTTCATGTCTTTTAGGTCTTTGTTGAAGCATGAGCCTTCCTTTTTCTTTGATAACTTTCTCTGAGTAGTACGACTTATTAATAACTGATTTAAACCTTTGTTTCAATAAAGAGCTACTTGAATCACCTATAAACGATAAGGTGATGTAGACAGGTTTTTTGTGCCAAAGCTATGGTAGGTCTTACTATATCATGACCTTTCCTTCGATTTACAAATTTTAGAGAATAACCACTTTCCATTAATGTTCTGCTCCACAACCAAATGTCGTCATCAATAGCGTCGTCTGTGCAAATACGCATAATCCTGCTAAATAAGCCCCTTATCAAACCCCGTTTGAATTGCTCTGGATAGTAAATATAATAACTAACTTGGGTTGGATTTCTAAAAATAATTTGTTTGATGGGACCGTTTTCTCGTCTACTGATAAGCATATCAAAGAAAAGGAGCTGGTCGTTCCTATTCTCGTATGAAAGACTGATTTGGTTTTGAAGAGAGTTAAGTTTACTCAACAAACAGTATTATTATTATTATTATTTAAATATAAAACATTAGTACAAGGAGGCACCAAATATATATGCGCCACATAAACCATTCAATTTGTATTATGTAAAAATAACATTTTGACGTAGTTTAAAAGCACTTGTAAAAGCAAATTTACGTAGTTAATTGATTCACTTACCTATGTCCATAGGATCATCGCACGGTACTGATTCTTCTACTGTAACTTCTAGGGGTTGTGTTCGAACCTGAAAAACATTTGAGCAATATTTCGCGTTTTGATGTCACCACAGCGATCATAGTCAAGCAACAATTAAGTTTAGAATTTTAGACTATCATCTGGATTATTATTAACAAATCTAAAGAGTTTCAATCACATGAGATAGGATGACTAATATCTTACAAACTACACAATTAGTATGAAACTTAGCATAAAGTTACCAGTAAAGCACACTACTTGCCAAAAACCGCTGATCTGGCGGATTTTATCGTTTAACACTCCCATCTCATTTGGGCTTTTGGATCCGATATACGCATACTACATGATAGTACAAAATCCATAAATCTACTGAAATTGGAGCTTTATTACCGGTTTATTGTTCTTATCAATACTTCATAATATTTATTAGGCGCAATGGACGAGTATATGGCTAACCAACCAAACCAATTATATCAGTCATATATTATACGTGATGCTAAGATTGAAATATTTGTCCAAGTATTGGAACATAAGTTACGAAAGCTTCAGTAAACATGCACACAGGCAAAAGTTCCGGCGATTCGCATCATTGCACAAAGAGGAAATTGACTAGAAGGAAAGTGATGAAAATATAATTTTACCAGAAGCAGTATAATACTGGAAACTAAGTAAAAATATCAAAAGAAACGAAAAGTATTATGTAGCATTAAGTGCAAGGGTTAGAGAACGATCATAAATCGAATCAAATTTCAAAAGAATTTTAACCATACCATTTTATCAAATGTCCAGAATTACCCATCATAAATGCGCATCAATAACACCTGCTACTTTAAAATATTAGTGAACAGAACAAAGTACCAAAGGGTAAGTCAGAAAATATAGGTATTACCCTAAATCCAGAATATGTATGTGTTGGTGCAATTAAAGGGTATTATAAAATGAAGAAATAAAGTGGTAAGACGAGTGAGTATGCACAAATAGACAACTGTTTTGAGCTTGAATGTTAACACTGTGTACAAAGATTCCAAGTACTTTAAATCTTCCATTCGTAAATTTTTCAGCAATAACCCTGACATGAAGCTGAGTAAACGACCGAAAGTAAATATAAGGCATGGTGAAAACACCAGCCCACTAATATGACAAAACAAACGTTTTAGGAATTTCATAGAAATTATGAACCAAAGAATATTAGAACATAATCTCCACAACCCAAATGGAAAATGATCATATCCTCACTAGTGACTGATGCTGAGAGGAAATCCTTGAAGTTCTAGCGAGAAGCCATGACAGCTGGAATTTAATCGCGTTGAGTGTGAGGCGATCACCCTATGAAGGCAATGAAACGAGGTCGCGCGACATCATAGACTGGTTGAAGTTAGACATTAACGCCATTGGATCCCGGCTCAATCGTCTAGAAGTCAACGGTTCGCGAGCGTGATCGTGGGTGCATATTGTTGAGGAGTCCTATACTAAGACGAAGTGGTCAACCAGAGCTTCCAGGTTTTCAATAGTGATCAAACATTGATCGGTTCATTATTTAAATGGTCCCCGCAATCCCGAACTAAATGTTTGAGGAATTATTAGACCTCCAGCCTTCCTTGGAGATTTCATGATGCTCAACAAATACCTTGGGATTTATCAGCACTAGTGAGATAAGAAGTCTTAATCTTAGTCATAAAAATTCTACCGGCTCAGACCGCCCAACTATTAAGTGAAACACTAGAATTTGGCGATTCCAAAGCAATGGACGCGAAGAAAATTTAATACCCGCATAACGGACTAATTCTTGATTTTATCTATATTAATTAATCTACTCAATACATAAACATGTTGGTAGAAATGGGTACCAAAAATGTATGGGTCATACAAATAAGTGGTCACATTGTGAAATAAAGCAACGTGAAGCGCAGTAAACAAATAAGTAAACAAGAATAGCACATAAAAACGGTTCAATTAAAATTTCAACAAACGATTTTTTAAATTAAGGAAGTTCTCAACTATATGACAAATGTAAGATAGAACCACAACAGAATCGTCACTGGCTTCTATTTTGAGTCATTTCTGACATCACTGGGTTGCATTATTCCTTGGAACCCAACCAGGAAATCGTAATGAATCTATAAGACAGTTTTGCCCTGCTTGCTTTCACGCCACGGTGTAAAAAGATAAACTGACCACCTCTGTTTTTCAACCCCATCTCAGAATCTGCAATATATGCACAATAAGGAAGCCACTGGTGTAACGTTCGTTAGGCATCTAAAAGCCATAGAAGATTGTGTTCCAAAATTGTGACACTAAGTGTATTATCGTTACTGTGCTCCATTACTCGTATGGTGTTCCCATTCGATATCAGAAACAATGAATAGTCACCGATCAGCCTCAACTCGGAAGCCAGATAACAAAGAGAGGACGAAACCCCACTCACCGGCATGTTGCAGACCCGACCTTAGATGAGTAGACGAATATCACGACAGTTCCAAAAATAGCCTATAATTGTATAAGCCGCTCTGGTTATCACCATACGTAGATTGGTATCACCAGTCACATCATTAACACCAGACAACCACCCAGATACACGAACTCTTCAACTACTTCTAATGGCTAGCCACAGAGTGGGTACAGATACAAGCTCCTGGCGGTCTCGCAGAAGTACATTAGACTTTTTAGATTCAAAGTACGTGAAGTGCCTATAGATAGTAATTCCCGGCCGAACAAGTGTAAATTATATAGCTTAAATATCATAACACAGTGAAACGATGTCATCCACATACTCAAGATCAAAAATCATTTACATAATTAACAGCTTTATATTCCTTCTGTGACGTGGCTCACAATCGATCACAATGGCGCAGGTGTATACACTCTTTATCTTCCCTTAAACTTTGAGGTTAAAATTGTTTCATATCTGTCTTCCTTCCTATACTATATCCTTATATACAACCTTTCTTTTATATATTACAACCACGAAATTAACTACTATGAATCCGGTGTTCATCTTGGTGTGCTAACGAGGTATGGCAACTTAGACCGATGTATATATGTGCCTGGTCCTACGTTGTAGCTGACTGACTGAACCCTCTTGCCTTCAGATCCGCTTCCAGTATCATCGATGGCAAAGTTCAAGAGAAATGGTGAGTGGATAACCCTATCTAACCCCTGTCGGATTGAAACAGAGTTAACTCAGTGGCCGTCACTCTGTCTGAAGCGTTTGTGTCGAATTGTAAGGATGCTAATGAGCTTCCCAGGAACATTCTTCTTCAACAGACTCATAGACCATGTTTCTGTCCAACGAATCGAAAGGTCTGATATTAAGAAACCGTACCAACTGACGAAAATATTGAGTCTGACACCATGTGAGTTGGTAGACATTGAGAATGGGTGAAGCTTGCCGTAAATTTGCTTTACATTCAGTAGGGGACATTGTTTTATACCAATACCTCACATGCCCCCAAATGCCCTGGTACGGCCGAGAGTGGGGAGAGTCCACTCTCCCTCTCGAAATGCTCTCACATGGCCAGCGAATATATAGCCTCTGACAGGGAAGTCCTACTCACTGCCTTCTCGTGGCGGGGGTGTTGTTTACGAAAGTGAGAGGACGAAAAGCGAATGTCCGGCGCTTTAACCGGGTTGGTGGACATGGAAAGTTCACCTAAGGGAGTTGGAACACCCTGATTCCAAACCAATGGTGCACATGGGCTCCAGTATCCTGAAGGAACAAATGGCGTACGAATCAATCATTGATCACCGGCTACCATGGGACTGCATCTCCTTACGGTGCTCCACTGCCTTGTGGATCAGATCTTTCGGTCAAAGGCTCCGGGTGTGGGCCCCTAAGAAAACCACCTGCTTCAGTTCGGGCACCTGGACAGTATCACAGCCATCACACAAATCGAATAAGATTTGTACGGCGCATATGTATCTGGTGCTTCCTTGTACCAATATTTATGTGTTTAAATAAATAAATAAATAAAATACCTCACATTTATAAGACACTAACCAAAACAACTCAACACGGCAACTGGTATGAAAACAAAAGCGGACCACTACATTAGAATTGTTTACGATGGAATCAGAAGGTCTATGAAGATTTATCATAACAAAATGATTTCGGAACTAACAGATTATGCAAACCGTTCAAGTGAACTTCAAACTTACAGAGAACAAATGTATAAAAAAAATACGTTAACTCACGTGTTCCATTTCAGAATGAGTGGCTGTAGGGGAAACACTGTTATTCGCTGGAGTGTGAAAGTTTTGTGGTGGAACTGATGACTGGTTGTTAAAATGGACAAGTGGTTGACAAAAGACACTTGGGGGAGGAGGGGGTGGTGGAATCAAATAACTTGCACTTGGTCCCACATAAGCGTTGATTGGACATGGAACATTCGCCTGAATAACTGAATGCTGAACAGGAACTGAGGGATACGGGTATGGAAACGGTGGCTGAATGCCTTGAGGTGTGGGGATGGTCACGGGATTACTCATTACAGATCCATAAGCTCGATCATACGCATCGGTAGGATACGGTCCAGCTGGATTTTCAGGGTATATTGCAGGTCTTAGTTCGACACAATTTTGGTTACCTAGGCTACTAGCTAATAGTGACTCGGGGTTCAAGTCAAAGTAATCGCAAACAATATTCTGAACTTGATTCTTGAAATTTTTGGGCATTTTGGCACTAAGTGCCTGGTTAACGAGTCTGTCAACCCCACAAGACAACATCTTGGTACTTAAGAGTCGAGTCCGTAGCTGTTCTCTTAACTTTAATTTTTCAATCCCAGGATTCCATGACTGATTTTGAAGAAATGATGAAACAAAAGAATTCACCTTCTTTTGGAGAACTTGGTAGTCTGAGTTTACATCAACATCTTCAAGACATTGCTTTCTAATTTTATCAAATAATCCTTGGCTTTTTATCTGGTCTACAATGTGGCTAGCTGTTTGGGATCTTTGTGAGCCTATCTCCATAAAGTACCGTAACAGTAAAGATGAAGCGCTCCCAATGACCCAATATCCAAATAGTTCAAGTGTTTATGTACGGAATGTATGAAGGTATTGCTGAACGACCTTCCGTATCCTGAGTCATCTTGAGGGTTTAGTGGAGATTTCTATAGGGCTATATAAACTGATAATATATTCCGATACTTGACTATACGTAAGGATTAGGTTGCTGTGTAGCGTATAGTACAACTACATAAATGATTCACACTAGTTTTTGGGCAGACTTTAATAGCTCAGAAAACATATGACTGCTGAGTGATTTTTACCTCGATAATAACTATATTCTTTGCATAGAAAATTGTGACCTTCAACAAGTATATGTCATATTCATATACTTGTAATTCTACGCTTATGATCTTTGTATATAATTGTACACATGTATGTCACTCATGATTTTATCCAATACCTGTATCGTTCTCACATTATTCATGAACTATTTTGAGCCATACTAACGCTTGTAATGAGTAGTAAAAGGAGGTTTGCAGGCCTGTCTTGTTTTTACCTTGCGTCGCTTCCCCGCTTCATGTTTTAATGCCTGTATGAGTAAACGAATGTCTGAAACGAGTTCGTACAACTCAATTCCTATTCGGCTTCTTATTATAAACAGTGGCCAAAGGGAGTTAGCATAATTTTAATGTAAATAATTAAGCTGAAGATTTATGTTCATGGAGTATTTATTCGGCTTTCTAAACCGGAGTCAGACTACGGGCCACTAAAGTTTACAGTTCAACTTTCTGAGTAGTACCATTCATTTCCAGGCATCGCTGATAAGGTGTGTATCAGGACTCAGTTTTAAAAGGTATTCTAGGAGGTGGTCAGGATTGTTTGGGATGATGCAGTTCATTAAGTGATCTCTGAGTCGCCTATACCCTAATAGATAAAGATCCAGTAATTAAGGATGTTCCCCATAGTGTTTGAATTGGAATTCTCGAAACGATTGGGTGACTAACCTATGGACACGTTCCGGACTATTATTATGCCTCAAGATCCCAAAAGGAAACATCATATTTCTGTGCTCTAAGTGGAGCTGAATAAAACTTAAAAGTTGGGTGAAAAGTTATGCTGTTAAAATCCCCGAAAATACCCTTCAATTTTACTAGTGCAAGGTTCGCCCTGAAAGTAGTTTTGTCGCAGTTAGAAAAGGACTTTAGATTGTTATACCAATACATCTATATCGTTTTCTTCCTGAAACACCTCTAGAGAATAATTGTGCCAATTGTCTCAAATGGACAACCTTAAACTTCCAGATGTTGAAAGTATATTCAATATTTCTCGCCCAGCTTCAAGTCAAGTCAAACCCTTGTGAGGTTCCAGATTGTCATCCTAGTTTAAATTTCCACCCAAAGTTTAACGTCGTCAGAGAAAAGCAATAGCGCGAACGGCGATTGCTGAGGAAAGTTACTTGCATAAAGTAAAAAAGATCATATGACTGAATCTATAGGTAACTCACCAAGATATTCTCTTGTTTGAGGAAACATAGAGCGTAACCTGACCACAGAATGTTTACTATTCGGATGTAGATCAAGCCACCTTGCCAATGGTGACTACTTATTCAAAAGCTTTGTTGTATTACTGTTGTTCTCTGCTAGACTGTTAGAACGTGACCTAAAAACTCCGATTTTGACTTGTCAAAAATAGGCTACACAACCGAATGAGCCTTCGGGACTAAAAACAAATTTACTAACCTGCTTAATCCGATAACGATGTTTGCTTTCTGGAACTTTTGTGCATTGCTTCCTTGTTTATTTAAACTTTATGTATGTGCTTTCATTACAGGTTTATTTGTATCCCGACCGGTAGTATGATTTTAGTTTTAGCTCTCAAAGATTCCTTAAGACCTTAGGTCGCTTGTGACTTTTAAGGACCACTCGTGAGACAGACTGGTTTGTAGCACGTAAGGCTGTCTGCTACATGAAATCACAGTGAGGATCTCTCCGAAACCGAGGGCAAGCTTCTCAGCCCATCTGCTATAAACCGTCCTTCAGGTTTGATACACTAATCCACTTACAAACCCAATACCAGTTGTCATCAGGATAGGTATGTCTAATTTTACCCTGAAAGTTGAAGCCCATGAAAATGGAATCCCAGTTTTCCAAAGAAGTCAGGGTTGAGATTGTCATCTGACGACTATTCGTCGATGAAAATAAATTTTATGCGTGATGGCATCTGGCTGTTACCCCATCAGTTTCTCGACTTCATATTTCTGAACAATCCCAGTTTCCTAATGAGGCTGAAGAAACACACTTCCTTGGTCGTAGTCTCCGTTGCGCGTTTGTTTAAAGAAGGAAACTTAAGGAAGGTTGAATCCACTTAAACTTATGACGTATGTATATCCTAGACAAGCAAAGAGGTGGCTTATCTGATATCCAATTTTCGTACTGAATTTCAGAGATAGATCTTCTATGTATAACTCCAACTAGACATAATGAAAAGCTACATAATCTCACGGAGTGCTATACGAATTCACGGTTCTGACGACCTTGTATGAACCAGTATTTTCACCTAGCATGTGTTTTGGTGTTTAGGAGTGGTTACGAGTCTTTGGTGACGTCCAATATGGGTAGTTTAGCAAGTTTCGGTATGAGATGACTAGGGGGTTAGATGAACTTCAGTAGTTATAAATTTTAAGATCTCTTGGTTGATCCAACATTGTGTCTTAACCTGTCAATAGATGGGGTATAAACTAGGTGTTAATGTGAATAGTTCTATCGGTTTAAAACTGGATAGAAATACTGACAGCCAGATGGTCACTTGATGATTCTTCATTTCTAAACCTTGCTGAGGTATAGTCAAAAACTGCTGTCCCAATAGGTAAGGAAAATGGGAGACTGTCAGGTCGAAAACCGTCGTAAAATAATTTAAAAGTCGTTATTATTATACTTTTAGTCCCCTTGCATGACATCTGGAACAGACTTTTTCAGACAATTTCTTGCCGTAAGGCAGCTTTTAGATCCCATGAACCAAGTTAGTAGCAGTTATCTGTTATTCATTGTCAATTTTTGAGCAGAATAATGTTATCTGTATGGAATACTCGAATTTTAGTACGGCAAAGTTAGGAATATCTTAATATTTATGTAGCTAAAAACTACACCTACTGACCAAAAGGCTCTGGAGCTCTTATTAGCTGCTGCCCAACATTGTGTATTGGTTTGCATGTATTATTTGACAATGATTTTTAGGTCACTGTGTTTTGACAGCAGGCACCTGATCATAACTCGCCGCATAAGTACTTGGACCTTAGTGACCAACGTATGTTGTGATGTACTTGTACATTTATAAATCCTCCACAGCTCATGACAGCGGATGCAGGAGGTAAGGTGATTTATACATATGATGAAAAGCACTTGTCTTTTTAAACTGTATCGAAGAGTGCTACGCTAACCACGGTTTTTCATCAAAACTGGTTGGAGTTAACCTATATTTTTTGTGAAAATCTAACTAAGAAATCACTCATCTCCAGAGGTAAGCTTGTAGCAGTACGGCAGTGGGATGTAAATAAATCCCCAAAATAAATAATTCTCTATATCTCCTAAATATGTCCGACGATATCAGCCCTACTGTACACAACCTAGCAGAATGCGCTCGGTTGAGCACACACACTAGATCGACTCTGGGTTCACTGTCCTACGCATAACTCGCAACTACTAACCAGCCATGCCGGGCATGCCAGGCATACCAGGCATGCCGGATTACTTCTAGACACATCTTCGTACACTTTCATTCTTATTTTTGTATTGACTGGATTTGGGACCTTTCATTCATAGAGGTGTTACAAAAAAGCGTTGTGATGACCAGAATATCCAAACGACTGGCAAAACTAAACCTATTTCTATTGTCAAATCGAAGAACTGGAGGTGACTTGATTGAAATTTTCGAAATAATTAGTGATACGTTGTATCTGATATACACTTAGTTTTCTTATCTTCCATACAGAGATTTTACAACAAAAACATTCCTCCAGACGCGCGGCTTTTCCCTCTGAGTGTACTTGATAGTAATGATCATTTAACTACTCATCAAGACTACTGTTTTTGTTTTAATTAAATTTATTTCAGTTGAAAGTCGCTCTTCTTCTGGAGAAGTTTATCACCTGTACTTTTCGGGTAAAAGTACAAAAAACAAAGGGCACTGTTACCTACTTTTCCTAGTTAATTATATCTCTTAGTATTGTTTGTATACAAAGGTGATAAGGTCTTTTTGTAACTACTGAGGTCGGATATTTTTTGTTGTTGTTAGGTACAGCAATAAACAAACTCATGTTTTCCTTTGTGTCCAGTGCTCGTCACCAATCAAGCCTTAAAGACACTTTTTCTAGAGATCGGTTTTTGGTGTTTTTTCTTCCTGTGAGACCATGAGACAAATTTACAGCGTAAGTAAAACATCGTTGTGGCAGATCTATATGCTATATCCCTGTCTATGAAGGGATGCAATGTGACAATGTGACAAACGATGAGCTAGGTAGGCAAAGGTCAATCTTTTCAACATCTTTTATTGACTCATAGTTCTCCGATGAGGAACCGAAGGCTAGATTTCAGCACGATCTCCATCACGTTATGTCCTCAATAAGCTAGCTACTGCCAGAAACAGTTTCAGGAGTTAGCATCAGTAGACTTTTTAGAATAGGACAAAAAGTGCATCCTGAAAGTACTCAAAAAAGCCGCCCCTTAAAGGTTACCTTTGCTTCGGCTGAAGAAATAAACTTAACACTGGGCAACTCACGCAAACTGATTGGATCCGGTATATATGTCCGTGAGGAACACAACTTGGATTACCATATTAAGAGACGAGCTACAGAAGTGGAAATGGGCGTCACCGAAACGGTGAAAAAACCTTGTGCTTATGGGTTTTCAAATTATAAAAGTTCGGAGCGAAACGATTCCCAAACCACTCTGTGCGGTATGGGAAAGTTCCTCACAGAATTAAGGGTGTGTTAATTAAATGCTCGCAGCCTAAAATATAATAGGGGAGCTCAAGATAATGATGTATATAGAAAAACCAGTTGTCACTGGAGTCTCAGAAATATGGTTAGTGTTACAAGTGTTTGATAAAGAAATTCAGTTGATTGGGTTTTTATTCAGTCAGACTGACAGATTAAACCGTAGGAGAAGTGGGGTTTTCCTGTATACGAAAAGTACCTTAACCATACGAGCTGTCGAGACAATGGCACATGATTCAGGGACATGTTAACTGGTACGTTGCAGGCTGAAATGTATAAGGAAATATATTGGATTACTTGTAGTATACCGCAGTTCAGAATAATAATAATATATTCTGAAAATAATGATTACAAAATTCACACCAGTTTACAGACATGATCAATTTGATATAAATAGCAACATTTGATGTACAGAACAAATATGTGATATAAGATTGTTTTATGTTTGCTGGTTCAGCAACTGTTCAGTGGTTTATTTATGACATGTATCACGACAATCCAATACATCGGCATGGAACTTTTAATTTTTTCTAAAGTGGATAGCCTGATGATTTATGAACGCTGTTCTGTAAGGTTATTTCCAGTGCCAGAACGAGTTATTGATAATTATCTACAACTAGAGAAAGTAAAATTAAAGCAGAGAGCACGGAACAACAAAACAATGATTGCCAAAATATGTCTGTCAGGTTTACCACTGTTCATGTTAGATATTATCCAAACGAGTTAAGGTTGCTAGTGACAGTGTCAATGTAAAATGACAGCTAGTAAGTGGTTAAATATTTAAAGTTCCTGTAGTCTCACTTGTGAAGTAAGATACACTTACAGGTGCTAGAGCATTTAATGCATTTTCAGAGGAGCAGTAGAGTGAACAAATAATGGGAGAGATTTCACTGTATGAATAGTTTATGGTAGATTATTCCAGAGTCTAGAAAATTTACAGGCAAAGTAATTCATATAGAGAGAAGATCTAGAATATGTTTGTTTCGCTAAAGACAAGCAGTTACGTACGTCGTAATGTGAAGTTTCTGCATATTGAATTGCCTGTTGGGTGTAAAGGATAGTTTGTTAAGTATTTTGAAGAACAAGACAAGATTTAGTTTAAGTCTCCTCTTCCATAAAGGGTCGAGCCCAAGTTTATTACACCTACAATTACAAGGTACAATCAGTTCCAAGAGTACGAAGTGTAAATCGTCTTTGTACTGATTCCAGCCTTAATTTATACTTTATGCGCGCGCTACTAAGAATAAACGCGCAGTAGTTAAGGAGTGGACGAACACAAACTTTGTACACTAAGATATGTGATTCCTTGTTATAAAGGTTCCGAGTTATGTAACCTATAAGGCGTTGAGACTTGGAAGACTGTTTCATTATCTCTTCGGTAAATGACAAGTCGTAGGAGTACCTAAGTCTACTATTGTGTGTAATCTCGATAACACTTAACCATTTATGGTAAGATCGAGTTCAAGTGATGTATCACCCACATTTAGCCGTGTTAAGCTCCAGCAGCCATTTTGAGCATCACTGTGCTACCTTGTTAAGCTCCGTGCTGATGCAACTTTGAATATCGCTCAGCTCATGTACAGAAAATAAATACACTACTTTAAGATCATGCGCATACTAAAGGGACTTACCCACACAAAAAACACTCACAAATATAATTAATAAAAACTAAAAAGAGCAAAGGCCCTAAGTCACTACTCTGTAGTAGATGATTTCCTCCTAGACAAACTTAAGTTCTGGTGTAGTAAGGATAAAAACCTTGCAGTAGGCGACTTCGATGCACCGTATAAAAACAGGGTAAACTTAGAGGTATGGTGATCAACAAGTTTACTTTATTGCAAATTGTTAGAAGCCACAATTACCCTAACTTTATTCCAGAACTTCATTCCGGATTCAGTCTTCACACACAGTGATGATTTCGGTCAAATACCTTTTCATTCACCTCTAGGCAGAAGGGATCATGCAGTCATCTCATTCAAGTTCATGGCTCAGATGGCTTATTAAACAGTTGCGCCGGCCCGCCCTAACATATGGAAGGCAGACATGAAGGCGATAAACTCTACAGCATCGGCTGAAAACTGGATAATTGACGCAGGGGCATCAATAAAAGGGGCATAGACCCATTTCGGGCAGTTATACAACACACATAACTCAATTGTATATACCGTAGACAGTCCCAAAGAAGAAACTTGGCCATCCCTGGATAGGCCGGGGTATTCAACGTTTACCAAGACAAAAGAGTAAATTTTGGAACATGCTATCAGCGATGGGGCAGCAAGTACGGTGGAACCCTACAGGTCGGTAAGAAATAAGTGTAAAATTACAATCAAGGAAGCTCAGAGAAAACAAGATATGAATTTAGCCCAATCTGCAATCAAGCAGCCTATGAGACTATTCTCGTACAGAAATTACAGAACAATGACGCATCATTGGATGCCCAACCTAATTACAGGAGAGGATGAAAAGCGGAGGCTATGGCAAACTTTCGGGGCAGTTTTCATTCATGATATCCTGGGAGAAGAACAAAAGAGAGCTACCTGTGCAATTCCAGGACTCTGGAGTTTACCATACAAAAATCGGCTTAAAAAGCTAGAACCCTTTACAAAGTCCTGAAGATACGACGGATATTCTAGTTTTACAACTAGCTACCAGTAGCACCTTCTATAATCGAAACCCTTTTGGCCGAATAGAAACCAGAAGTCAGACGAGAAGAGGTAGGAAAGATATATTTGATACGTTACCAATATATCGAGAGGCGTTCGTTATTAACTGACTAGTGAAACGTAGGCGCTGTGTCCCACGCCAGGTTGCAACGTGATCTGGTGCGGATGCATGACCGAAAGCCTTCAGTTAAACAAGTCCACTTAAACAACGTGGCCAGCACCCAATGTCGAACACTTAGAAAGCTATTGATTTTGGGAAATTATTTGCAGCTACGGATCACTCCCCCCTAGTGATGTAGTGATGCCCCTAAGACGTGACTAGCCAGAACTTTACACCCAACGAGTTTGTCATTGGTAAACTCTTCTGATAGCTTGCTTCGTTTAGCAGCGCCTGGTCGTTTTTCCTTATACTAAGGGACCAAAATGTACAACATAGCAATAAAGAAATAAAG